TATCATTGTGTTTCATGCACTGATAAAGTACTGTGTGCTTCTTCATTTATTTCATTTCCAGTCCAAACTTTCATTTAGGACTGAGTTATTCATTTGTCAGAATCAGAATACATATTTAACAGCAAAGCTTCAGAGACCAAAATATGATCTCAAAATTTTCAGTAGTTTAGTGTCCACCCTTTTCTGCATTTTCTGCTTCTCAGGATCCAAATAATCAAACACATTCAGTGATGTTCAGGTCTGGACGCTGGGGTGGTCAGTCCATTGTTCAGCTTCTTTGTTTGATGTGTCTGTCTCATTTTCTCAGTAAGTGTTCTTGAACAGCTACACATCCTTTCAGGCCCATAGCGCTGAGTTGTCTTTTCACAGTGGAAGGATGGACAGAAACTGAAACAAGAGTGTAGCTTGATTTTCTCCTTTCTCTCAAAGATGAAAGTGGTGGACCAGTTCATGAACAGATCATCAGTCCCATTTTCTCTGAATCTTTTCATAAAGTGGATGATCTTATATCTAACCTCAGAAATATCTCTTGATTTATGAAAGACTTGTACATAATGGCTGTTTTGTCTGGAGGATTAAATGAAGGGTGGTCTCAGACTTTTCCGCAGTACTGTATGTCATCAAACCCTTAAATGGCCAGGGCCCACTGGCAGACCCAAAGTTTTGCTACACGCTTCTATAACCTAAGAACAGCTCAGCTAATTTGCACTAAACTTCCTGAAGTTAATGAATAATAAGCCTTAATATGGGATTTTAAGAGGTTAAATGCGACATTCACTACATTTCTTACAAACATGCATAACAGAGTCAGCCTGTAGCAGAGATCACTGATGTTTCTTCTTCTGCTCCACCAGAGTCACACTTTTCTCAGCAGTGGGTGCTGAAGGGCAAAACTCACACCAAAGCTTGATTTGATCTTTCCAAGTAACCACACATACATTCACCCCTCACATGTCTCTTTAATGTGTTCTCTTAAAAAAATGCTAAAAGAAACACGAGACGCTTTTCTGTTTTCTTCGGCTCATCTCACGCTTGTTAGCTTGCTACAGTTGATTAAACACAAAACCCAATTAGTAGTGTAATGAGACGGGGAGACGGACGCGTTCAAAGAAGCTCCCTCCAAAAGAAACGCTGCTCATGAAAATTCCACTTATAATCTATAAGAAATATTCAGATAAATGTCATGAAAAGCTGCGGAGTCACAGCTGTCAGAGCTATTTCATAATGCACTAGGAAGTAGAAGAGTAGCCCAAGAGATGTTTTAGGAAAAGCCATAACTTTATCTATATATTTTAAGAAACATTGTAAATGTCTGTATTTGCATATGGTACAGGAAATATAATAAGAAGATTTGCATATATTAAAGTCAGGTCCCTGGAGAGTATTGAACTTTATCTATATCCGAGAGGGGCTTAGCTAATCTAATGGTTAGCTTTCTCCAACAGAAAAAGTACAGAATATTTCTTAATCCAGCCCATAAAAATGCACTATATTTGGTGAATTGGATTAAAATGCATTCCACACTATATAAGCATGAAGCACATAAAATGTACAGCATTTTAAACATTAATAAAGCTTCGAGTAACAGAACATGACAACTGCATTAACCAGTTATAGAGCACTTAGGTTAGGCTTTGCATTATGCATGAGGCCTTATGCTATGTCATATCATGAAGCGTGATTAAAGCAATTATATATATTGAATAATATACTGTTGTGCACCCTCTCTCAGTTCAAATTAGGAGGACGTTGCCTAGGGTGAGAAATCTAGCAGAGACTTATTCGTCAAACGATGGCAAATTGTTTCATTTCAAATGAATATTCCAATTATAACTGCTGCCGAAGCTTGTTTCACAGAGAGAAGCTTAAAGAGGCACCACGTGAAAATGTAGCCATTGCAGTATGTGTTGTAAACATGTCTACTTACCTCCTACATTTGTCGCCCAATAGTCTTGAGAGTGAGACTTTCCAGGTTTAAAGGCTAGGAAAATTACCTTCTGATGATGTATATTGAAGGCGGGAGTAACTACAAGCATACACAATGGAGGGCGGTGTGATTTTTTTTTTTTTCACTAGCTGGCAAATGCAGAAGGATGTCAGGTCGCTAATATTACTGATTGAAAGTTTATTTAAATTTATTAGCCTGTACATCAGTGGTACATCAGGGATTTCTTTATGAATGAGTGCTATACTGAACTAGAAACTGAACTAGAACATCTTGTATCAGTGCTATGTAACAAATCTATTTTACACAGTACACATTGTGGTTTGAAGACCATCATAAATTGCAGACCTGAGAGTGGTACAGACGACGTGTACTTTTAAAAATGTGTACTTTTAGATAGATAGATAGATAGATAGATAGATAGATAGATAGATAGATAGATAGATGTCCCCTCCAGTGAATGAACCAAGTGACTATGTATGTAATCTATGCTAACATTTGTGAAATATGAAATATTGAGTATTGAGTAGTAACAAAACGTAGTATTAATTGGCAGCCATGTGTCTTAAATTGTGCGGCTGTGTTTTCCATGAAAACACAAAGATCAGATCAGATCAGATCAGTATCGGCTGATATTCAGCATGAAAGAACACAGATCAGATTGGGAGGCAACAAACTGCACTGGGGTATCCCTATAAGATATGAATCAAAATCAATAGAAACATCTTTATGTCAAAAATGTCCTTTGCTCAGTTTCCATACAGCCCCTCCTCAAAGTACTTAAGCAGAGCATGTAGAGTGATACTCACCGAGGTTATTTTTGTGCTGTGGCGCTTTTGGAAACCTCAGAAAGTTTTTCATTGTCATCCAGCGATTATTATGTTGTGTTAAAGTGTATTGGCTTGGGGCTCAAGCGGAGTAGTTACAATGTGATTGAATCATGACTGCGGTATCCGATTGCTGTTGTATCCACAGGGATCAACAAAGGAAGCTGTTACCGGATCAATCACTTCCCTGAGGATAATGACTATGACACGGACAGCTCGGAGTACATCCTGCGTAAGTCTGCCTCTCTTTCACTCTCAGTCCTGCACCCAGAAATAAGCCATAATGTTTTTATTCAGAGTTCTACTTCATTGTGAGGTCATCATTTCATGATCATGGTTGTGTCTGAAACTGAAGGCAGCTGTCTTGACATCTTGCTGCCTGTGGTGTTTCATAAGGCAACACTTTCTACAAACGTTCATTTCAGACCTGACTGGCTGCCTCCCTACCCTAGATTACTGTATGAGTAGGCAGTGTTCATTACATTTCAGACACAGCCCTCAACTTATTTATGATGTCATAATTTGTGCTAACAGTGTAATAACATCACAGTGACACCAGTTAGCAGACACCAAGGGTGATAAATTCTCTAAATGATGTAACTTTTATTATTTTATTTTATTATGGAGTGAAATGAGCTTGAGGTTGTTTTTATTGGCACTTTTCTGTGATGCTCATTACAAAACGTAGTATTAATTGGCAGCCATGTGTCTTAAATTGTGCGGCTGTGTTTTCCATGAAAACACAAAGATCAGATCAGATCAGATCAGTATCGGCTGATATTCAGCATGAAGAGCATTACTGCACTGTGAGGTCATCATTTCATGATATTAACTTATTTATGATGTCATAATTTGTGCTAACAATGGTGCTGTACACAGACAGTTATTTTAGAACTGCGCTCTGTGGGCATGCTCAGTAAAAGCCCTGATTAGCAGTGCAGTTCTGTGTCTTATAGCTGTGTTTTAGTCCTAGCCAGGCCATGCTTGGCCTTGGGATATTTAGGATTAGTGTAAGACTGCAACTAATCGATATGTTTACAACTGATTAATTTTTCAACAAAGAATGGACATTTCAGGTTAATTTGTGAGGCAATAAAAATATTTAAACAAAAAAAAATAGCACTATAGCACTATTACTGCACTGTACTAAACCCAGACCAAAAACACATAGTAAGGGACAAATGGCTTAAAAGGGGCCGATTTAAAGTTGTCTGTTTTCACTAGGGGGGCATTAGTCCCATTTTTTCTAAATACAAGTACAAGTACATGTGTTTTGGTACACACCGCTGCCATAATGAGTAGCCTACTTAGAATTAAGTAGTTGTTAGTGTAGTTATTATTAAATATGTGCAACATACCTTAACAGTTAAATATAAAACCAAGCAGATTTGAAATGAAGTGCATTAAATTAATTACCTTGGATTGCGTAGCGCTGCAGTGGAGAAGAGTGGGCTTTGTTCCACGTCACTAAAGCTCTTTTGTGCAGCTGTAAGTAAAGTATATTTCATAGTTTTGATCCCCATTCATCTCTTTCAATAGCAGTCTCTGTAACACAGTGACAGCAGGAATCACATCCACAGCTAATACAAGAAACTCATTTGTGGAGATTTATGTGCTTTGCTAACTGGTCATCAAATGTATTAATGTTTATACCTAACTAAATGTTAGCTTTTATTACCTCAATTTTACTAGCCTATGTGTGTTCACCTGTAGTGGGGAAGCAGTTGTGATTGTGTGTGCTTAAAACTGGCAAAAATCACTCAGTGTGTGCCTGGCGGGAATCTACCAAGGCAAAATTTTTAAAGTGACACAACTTTGCATTCGACCGCCTGGCGTCAGCAACACTTCGCTGTTCGAGCAGACCTTTGTTCACTGCCAGCTTCAGTCATTTGTTCATTAGTGCAGCTTCATTAATTCATTAGCAGCGTACACTAGACTTATGTCACATAATATCAGGGGGTATTGGATGTTGGTATTTTTATGAGTACAAGTAAATAATAGCACGGTATTGGACAGATAGCTGATTGGAGCTGTACCGTGTATTGTACCGTGATCACTGTACCGTGATTTTGCAGTTTATCACTAAAGTCCAGGGAGAGTGGAGAATGCCACTGGTTAGCATTAGCTGTTTGCATAGCTATCATAATAACAGCTCTGCTCACCACAAAACATGCTTCATTCTGGCAAACTAAAGCACTGACACAAGTTTAGATAATTAAAAACAATAAGGAAAACCGAAAGGTAAAATGAAACCTGTTCTGTTGTGTTTGGATCTGCAGCTTGATCAGCTAACTTAACGTTAGCTTAGCCAGCAGGCTGCAGAAACAGTGCCACACACCACAGTATACATTTGATTCTGACTAAGTGGTGCTCTGAAGACACAAGTTTAGATGATAAAAACTATGTCTGACAGAGCGAAAGTCCAATGAGTAACAGAAAGCCGAAACTGAGCCTGTTCTGTGGTGTTTGGGATTGTAGTGTTTTAGTTAGCAGGCCAAACATGTCACACAGGAGAGGCTTTGTTCCAGCTAACTGATGCTAAAAGTGATCTGAGAGTGTGAAGTTGACTGACTGAGTAAAAGCCGAAATCCATTGTGTTCTGTGGTGTGTGTAGTCATTGCTGAGCTACTATCACGCTTAAGGCCAACGCACACTGGTCCAGCAATGACCAAACATTTAAAACCATTGTTCTTAACAATGGCATGCACACCAGCGGTGGTGTTGCCTCAAAGTCCGACTCCCTGGGAGAATCTGACTCCCTTTACATGCACGCATGTCACATAGGCCTATAGACTCTACAGAATACACTCACTGTTTCGGTTGTTTCTATGCATAAATAGCATTTTATCATTAATTTTCCTTACATTGTAAACAGCATAACAGGCCTTAAAGCCAAACACAGAGTCTCACAGTGACAGCTTAGTGTAATGAACTAAAGACTTTGGTTGTTGTCGCTGCACTCGAGAGACTGAATGCCTTTCAGTCATAACGATAAGTATAGCAAGAACATTTTAAACACTTTTAATTTTCAATTTTGGAGCAATATGATACTGGCAATCAGCAACTCCGAGCACTGTTCAGTGCACCACTGTAATATTGCTTTGTTCAATTAAAACCTCATCAAGACCACAGAAAGCCATGGTAGATGGTCAGGTAGGCAGTCAGTCTTTTAGATAAACAGCCTAGCCTTTTTCAGCTCACTAATAGAGAGCTGTTAGTAAAGTACTGATGTGAAGTGTGAATAATGATGGTGATTCAACTTTCACCAGCATAAAAAATGAAATGCAAAAAAAATGAAATAAGAATATGGCCATGGCAGGCCACCATGGTTAACACTGCGGCCTCACAGCAAGGAGGGTTCAATTCCCCAGCCAGGTGACCAGAGTCAACATTAACATACTAGTCTAGTCACTTTTAGCTTGAAAAACATGAGTGTGTAAAGATTTAGTTAGCTGACACCAAGGGTGATAAAATCACTAAATGAAGCTGAATGTTTTATTCCATTAAATCAAATCCAGTCAACACATCTTGTACATCTTCTGCATGGGTCGGCGCTTCTTGTACGGACTGTGGTAGCCTTTTGACGGCTGAAGTAGTCTTTCCTTATTTAGACTAAATAAATAAGAAAGTAATGCATATGACCAAAATGTAAGGCTCAGGCTCTTCACTGCTCTTTGTTGGAGTACAGAGTTTAGACATCTCTTGCTTCTCAAATATGAGATCATAGAAGAAGCTAATTTGCTTTAATTATTTTACACTTTCATGACTATTAAAAAGTCTAAAAAATTTGACTCATCCCTATTTTCAACTATTATTTGATTCATCAACATGCTTCTATGCCTTATTCCCGTTGTTACATCTTCTATTGTGTGATGAAATAATAAAAGCCATATCCCTACACTTCCTTTAGTTTATTGCTTTCTGTCAGTTTGACTGCATGTATCATAATAATTGAGAGCATTATAGAGTGTTTTAAATGAACAATTTAAGTACTATAATAATCCACATCAACATGTTTTCATAATTGACATTGTTTACTTTAGCACTAATCACTGCAACCCTAATTGAGTGTCATGGCGAAGGGAGATGAGCAATGTCTCATTGCTATGGCCGTATGGTTCAAGAAGAAGCAATGGCAGGATGCGCTGGAATAGGAAGAGATGGTGGACGAACTTCTTAGACGAGTGATAATGTTGCACGATTAGGGAGAGACCTCCTACACTGGGAACTAGAAAATGACGAAAAGACATTAGCACAATAAAATCAATACCCAGAGTGCCCCATAATTGAAAAGCAGTGACTACATCAAATCAAAAAGCTATTAATAGTCAAATGGATTATTATAGGGCTCATATCATGGAAAATCATTTTTTTTTTACCTTTCTTAAAATAAATATCAATGCATAACACAAATGCTGTTAAAGTTTCAAAAGATACCATGTACTCCCCAGTTCATACAGTCTGTATATGCAAACTAGGCCACAAAAACATCTTTGAAATTCATGGCAGTAAAATCAACATATTTACATATACCCACCCATTTATCCTCCAGCAGTTTAGCTCCGCCCATTCACGTTATAAGGAGTGTTTCAGCCTGGGCTGCTTTTTGAATGAGGCACACTACAGGTCAGCCAATCAGAGCAGTTCTCACAGTAATGAAGAAGCCCATTTAATTTAAAGGGTAAAGATAGCTTGGAAATAGTCATATAATAAGGACTTTTGGGGGACTTCTTATAACTAGTGAATAAACAATCTGTTCATGTTTTGGTGTCCAGTTTACATCAATCTACACTATATAAGTAATCACTGAATAAGAACTATTAATATGACTGTGATTCCAAAATTTTAAACAGTAGTTTAAGCGATGGGAACTTGTTTATGTGGTTTCTGACAAACATGGACTATACACTGACCAGCCACTTCACATACCTTGTTTATAAGCTCTTTGTCCATTTAATCAGGTCAATTTACCATATAGGAGCACTTTGTCATTCCACAATTACAGACTGTTGTCCATCTGTTTCTCTGAATACTTTGTTACACTGTTCTTCAGTGGTCAGGACCCCCTCAAGACCACTAAAAAGTGGGTATTACTTGGGTGGTGGATCATTCTCAGCACTGCAGTGATGCTGATGTGGTGGTGGCATGTTAGTGTGTGTGTGTGTGCTGGTATGAGTGGATCAGACACAGAAGTGGAGTTTTTTAACACTGTGTCCACTCACAGTCCACTCTATTAGCCACTCCAACCTTGTTGGTCCACCTTGCAGATGTAAAGTCAGCCATCTGTTGCTGCACAGTTGGTCATCCTCTAGTCCTTCATCAATGGTCACAGGGCACTGTTGACCGGATATTTTGGTTGGTGGACTATTCTCAGTCCAGCAGTGACAGTGAGGTGTTTAAAAACTCCAGCAGCACTGCTGTGTCTGATCCACTCAGACCAGCGCAACACAAACGAACACACCACCACCACGTCAGTATTACTGCAGTGCTGAGAATGATCCACCACTGAAATAAAACAAGAAAAAACAAGGTAGGAAAACTTCAGACAACAAACATGTCTTGGCTGATCAACTGCATTTGAAAAGTCACATCACTTTTGTGATTTATTCTCTCTTCTGGTTCTTTAAGGGTTCTTTCATAAAGAAAATGGTTCTATATAGAACCATGAACACCAAATAACCTTTTACGTGATTAAAGGGTTCTTTGCATGGTGAAATGGTTCTTCGGACTGATGAAGAATGTGCTGTATATGGTTTCATATAGAATCCTTTTGAAAAAGGTTCTATATAGCTCTGAAAAGAGACAATGTCAAGCTTGTAACAATAGAAGAACCCTTTTAGGTGTGTTATAGAACCCTTTTCAAAAAGATTCTATATAGAACCATCTACAGCACATTCTCCATCAATCTGAAGAACAATTTCACCATGCAAAGAACCTTTTAATAATGCAAAAGGTTCTTTAAGTGTTCATGGTTCTATATAGGACCATTATCTTTATGAAAGAACCCTTGAAAAACCATCATTTACCCAACCAAAAAGACGGCTCTGCGCTTTGTGCTTAAGCAGGATGCATTTTTATAGGGCAGGTTAACACATTTGATTGACAAATAGGTAAATATGAAACAATGATTTGTGAGAATAGGAAAGACAGATGACTCATAAACATGTAGTAACTGACATGTAATAAATAGAAAACTGTTCTCCGACTCCCAGCAGGTTCTCAGAGCACCACAGCGCTTGACTCATTCTGATGGTAATAAAAGACATGAAACCAAGAACAAAACCACAGACACTGATATTAGATTAGATATTAACAGCTAGATCATGAAAAGACAATCAGAGAATATCTTTAAAGAAAAAAGTTGTTTAGTTTTTGCAAATCGCCTGTTACATCACCCCAGCCACTCCTACTAGTCAGCAGTTGGACGGAGTCTTCGTCATTCCTATGCTAATTAACTCAATGGCCATGACAATCAAGCAAAGTTGACGGCTGATAATATTATTTTTAAATTCTCTTTGACAGCTGAGCTAATGGTAAAATCCTGGAATCGCCACTAATTTAAACCATGTTAAAGCAGAGAAAACAGGGAACCATGCAAGCCTTTGGAAAAATCCAACATGAGTGTTTGGCATGTTCCTGTTCTGTGCAGGGATTGTGCGAGCCTCCAGCCTTTTTCCCATCCTAAGCACCATCCTGCTGCTGCTGGGGGGGCTGTGTGTGGGGGTGGGACGAGTCTACAGCAGCAGAAACAACATCCTCCTGAGCGCTGGCATCCTCTTCGTAGCTGCAGGTAAAACAAAGGACCGGAGTAAAGCGGCTAGTGATACGACGCTCACTCATCTGATGTGGTTTTTATTGACGTACAGAATTCAATTTACACACTCCTGAGGGAACAGCACAGCTGTCGAACTGAGAGACAGAGCTCCTGCTGTACTCACATCATGAATAAATCCTTTGTAAGTTACCCGATGAGATAAAGCACAAAGGATGTTTCCCTGCAAAATCATAGATACTGTAACTCTATGTAAATGTACGGGCTTATGTAGTAGGTGGTTTTGCTCTAGGGTTTAACCTCTGAAGTTATTATCATCATTTTACCACATTATTTAACAGTAATGACATAGTTGATTACCCAGTTTGTTACATAATTAATGACAAAATTATTGCAAAATGTAAAGGGTGTAATGGGTTTTCTGTATGCACAATAATAACATCAAATTTAGGTAAAAATCATAGTAAAATGATTGTAATTTATATAATCTCTTCTACTTATGAAAGTGGATTTCCACATTCCACATTTAATTCTCTTTCAATGAGCTACAAATAAGAATTAATTAAGCAAAATGTAACACATATAGCAGGGGTTCCCAACCAGCTGCCACTGACCATTACCAGGCCGTCGGTCATTTGGTACTGGGCAGTAAATACATGGCAGAGAGGAGGAGTAACAGCTGAACTCCAAAACTGTATTTATCTTCTTGTTTGCTATGTATGTAATATTAGTATTTATTATCTAGGACTTATTTTTGCAATGCAAATGTCTACACTGTAAAGAATGTCTGTAAGTTTTACAGTAATGTATTGTTTACAAGCCAGTATAACTTTAAATGTATTTTGCAGGTTTATATATCTTCCCATGTTGAATTTTGGCACATCGTATGTAGTGCAGGCTGATTATACTGTATCAAACACCTTATTATATAAGGTTACTGTAACATTATTGTAATTTACTGCAATTTAATTATATTTTTCACTTTTTTTATTATTTAAACGTTAAAAGAGCACCCGAGCGATGAACCAGAGTAAATGCTACAAGTTTATATTTTTAGTGGTGAAGTTAGTTAAACATAAACAAAAAGCCTAACAAGCCAACACTAGCTAATTATCTACTAGTATGCTAGTTTACCTAACACAACCTCTACCAATATAAAATAAAGCGGAATATTCAAATGAGTTCATGGATTTTTCTTTTTTTGTCATATCTGTTATTATATAGCAGGGTTTGTAAGCATTTAAGCAATTTTAATAAGTATCTGGTTACCACTGCTGTGATAACTGTGAGCATTATTAGAGTAGCCTGTTAAGCCTGTTAGCTTCTGAAAGAATAGCAGTTTGTATTTTTGAAAAACTGAAATGAAAAATCAGATTTTATTAAGATTAACTCTTTAAAATGTATTTTAAATTGTTTTAACTATTTCAGCTCTTTCATTTCCACCTATGTATGTGCAATCCAGAAAATAGGATGTTATTGTTTACAGTATGCTGCATTTAAAAATGCAGTGCAGTATATCATTACTGTAAATCAACATTAAGAGTGCTGTAAATATTAATGAACTGCCTGGCAACTGTGCTGACAGCAGGTTAGTTTAAATGTAAGGAATATTTTACAGCCTGTTCACTGTATAGTGTAGCATACAAGTACAAATTTATTGTGCATACAAGTATCATGCATGCATTTAGATTGATATTGGCTTTCAGTTGATGGCTAGCATAAGTGAAAAAGGCAAAAAAGAAGTAACTGAAGAAAATTGTAGGAAAAAAACATATTTCAATTAGAAATATGATGACAATTGCATTAAAAACATATTCAGGATACCCATGCACCAAATCCACTGTGTGGTATGTGAGCAAAAGCTAGCGCATAAGGCTATAAAGCAGTCCAGTAAAACAAATCTAATCATTCGCTGTCCATCAAAAACGCTGCGGGCAGCGGTTCAGTCCCCTCCATAGAGCCATGGTTCTGAAGCCAGTCCTCAGGGACCCCCAGAAAGTCCAAATTTTTACAATGTATAGAGCAAAAATGTGGCCCATCTGGAGGGCCTTGAGAACAGGTTTAAAAGCTATTGCCCTAGAGGGTCAGGTAAGGTTATATGGTAATACAGTAAGGTCAGGAATGTCATACTTGATGTTCCACACTGAAGGCTCTGTTCTTTCTCCAGGTCTCAGCAACATCATTGGCATCATTGTGTACATTTCCAGCAATGCCGGTGACCCCAGTGACAAAAAGGGTGAAGACAAGAAAAACCAGTACAGCTACGGCTGGTCCTTCTACTCCGGAGCTTTGTCCTTCATTGTAGCTGAAGCCATCGGCGTCCTGTCCGTCAACATCTACATTGAGAAGAACAAAGAGGTCCACTTTAAGCGCCGCGAGTTCCTCAAAGGCGCGCCGTCTTCGTCCTCTTCACCCTACACACGCATCCCCAGCTACAGGTACCGCCGGCGGCGCTCCCGCTCTAGCTCCCATTCCACCGAACCGTCCCGGGACGCCTCACCTGTGGGCCGCAAGATGGCCGCTGCCACCTCACTGCCTCTGGGTGAAATCTCCATGTACACGCTGGGAAGGGAGCACCCTTTGAGGCAGGCAGGGGCCCTGGGCCCTTACAGCCCTGACCGAGAGCCACCCAGCTTCCTGCAAGTCCACAACTGCTTCCCCAAAGACACAAAAGATGGCGGAAACCGCAGGACCACACCAGTGTGAATGCACGGTGGCTGTTTACAAGATGACCACCAGTCAAGGTGGCGCTTGGAAGATTTGGAAAAGAGCGTGGTTTCGGTTTGGTGCAGTTAACAGTGGACAAGTCATAGCAAATTTGACATGAAGTTTGAGATTTGTAGCAAGAAAAAAGAGATGTTTGCTCAATATTGTAGCATTTCCAGAGCCATATTTGGCTTCATGGAGCTCCATACTGTATATTTGAATGCACAGTGACCAAGTCCAAGTAGCAATACATCTATGATGCACTGAACACTGAAAATATTAAGCCTTTGCCCCAGTATTGATGAAATACAGTTTTTTCTCAACTTTTCTTTGTACAAATGATGTACAGTGCCAGTATGTTTGACTTTGAGACAGTAAAGCAAAGGAAAAAGTCTGTAAGGTGCTAATTTAGTCAATGCGACAGGAGTTACGATCCACTGCCCAAGCTATTATCAGGTCCCGCCCCTTTTTGATTTTATATCTAGTAACAAAGCCATTTTGTATAACTGTGTTTTGAACCACTGCCATATTGTTTACTTCTGACGTTTACATTTCAACAAATTTGTTGATGTATAAAACTGTGAACTGTCCTGTAAAACCTTGGAGTTAATTTGAAAACTGAAGAAAAAGTCTTAAAAAAAAAGAAACAACTGGATGTTCAAGGACTTTCTGCTCAGGGAAGTTAATAATAATTGTTGGCTGGACGGAATTGGAGGTTCTTTATTGATCAGGGTTAAGATAAGAGAGTTTTTATGACCTACAGCAACCTTTGCATTCAACCAATATCAAGGTACTGTTGACAAATTCATCGGTCCCTATTAGAGGTCTGCTGCCCAACCTGAGCCTGACAGGAGCCCGGCAAAATATCAAGTTTCAGGCCAACTGTTCCATATAAATCAGAAACGTCTCCATTGTGGAAACGTTATGAACTGGTCCCTATATCAGATGAAGCACAATGGTCATGCACACCGAAGAGCTTGCAGGAAAATTTTGAGCTGTGAGAGCAGGACACCACATTTACCATGGATGCAGCTGTTCCATAGAAGCTAATAGCCAAATGTCAGTGTACTTCTTCGCACCAATTAACCCTTTAAGGCCAACACAAAAACATGGCTAAACCTGTTCTTCACCGCTAATCATATGCTGTAAAAAACATGATCTAACAAAGCCATAGATTTTTGTTAGGTTTGTCTCACAAACTACTTTTTTTCACAAGAAAATATATGAACAGGAATATAAATCACACATTAGATTTGTCTTAAAGTTACTCTGAATAAACAACAGAATAATAAGCACCCACTGATCCAAATTATGTAGACATGCACACGCCTTCACCTTTTCTGGTGACAGATTTAAACAAGATTAAGGGACTACTTGTATAGGCTGCCTAAGTCAGTGTCGGCTACAACATAAGCTCGGCCTTCAGATACATGTGTGGAGTATCTTAAATTTCATTTCCTGACGATCAACTAAAATCTGAATTTGAAGTGCTTCATAACAAAGCAAATAACTGTGAAACCACATCTGAGATCATCCATTTATAAGTGCATGGAGGCAGGTTCGGGTCAGGTTCGGGCTTCACATTTAGCAGTACCAGTTAGACCTAGTTGGGTCTCAAAGTCGCAGGTACAGGCCGGGTTCGGGCTTCAATTTCATGCCCCCGCAGACCTCTAGTTCCTTCACCTAAGCCTAAAGTTCTGTTGATGAACTTAAGCTAAAGAAGCTCTTCATTCTCAGCTCCTCAGTGGGCGTGCTTTAGCACATATGGTCCTAACACTTGGGTAATTTTCTCCGGTTTGTGCCATGGGCGGCTCATGTTCATTGTGGGTAGAAGGAGGCATTTGGCTAATGAAGCAAGCTCGATTGCCATACAACACACAGAGTCCATTCAACGAGAGCACAGAACACATTACAGCATCCACAGGGTGGTGAATTAATGTGCCACAGCGCTCCAAGCGCGGCGCTGAGCCTACTGCAGCATTCCCAAGCATTCCGAGATGTCTGTCCAGATCTCTGAACAGAGAAAACTGAGTAATTAAAAAAATAAAGTAATAACGTCTGGCAACAGCTGACAATTACGGAAGGTAACATTCCAGGGCCAGGATGCCACAGTCATTGAGGTGATGATATAACTGCCAAGAAGTCGATTCGTTATCATATCTTATTGCTGTGATCAATCAAACATGGACAGTTGTTGTTTCTCTGTGGACGGTGTGAAATTGTCTCATAATATAACAACATTACCGCAGGAAATATCTTTCTATTCCCAACAGTTATTGTCATGGCAACAGTTAATAAAGTCAAAGTGAATTGCGTTCTGAAGTTGCCTATACTCCTGTTTACGACTACGCGAAGATAAAAAAGCTTCTTGTTTCCGAGCTCTCCCGGTATTACGTCTTTTAACAACTGTTCTAACAAAAAAAAGCCAACATGCATACCTGTAATTTAGCGCTATGCTTTCTGTTAATCTAACACATTTGCAATACATGATTTTTTCTGTGGAAAAGTAAGAGTGGATGTGTATTGTTATGCTGTAACTTTTTTATTATTTGTCGTCTGCTCTCCTTGACTGTAGTCCACCTCAATAAAGGCAAAGATGATAATGTTTACCTGACATGCTTGACCTCTGCGCTTTTCCTCTCTGCATCATATACAGGCAACTTCCAAAAAATATGAACATCAGAATACAGGATGTGCACTCTTAAGAATAAAAGTGCTATAGAAGAACCAGCCTAGGTTTCCTAAAGAATTAGTAAATCCATGATTATTTAAAGAAATAATGCCATGCCTGAAGCTCCTCCTCCCTCCTATCTAACTTCCCTTTAGGCTGTCAAAGTTAATGTGTTTGCAAAGTGTTAACTAAGCCCAGCTGCAGCACGCTGTATGTTGTTCTGATAACCTGTGATTGTAGCCTTCTCGTTCAAGTACAGCTTTCAAACAGCTTTTAAAGCAATATCTTCAGCACCTTCAAGGAGAGCTATGGATAAATCAATGAGCAGCAAACTAACAAAAGCAGCTCCAAAATGGAAAGTTTCCATTTCCCTCAAGAGTCTACACTGTTGGAACATGCAGCCCCTGTTGATCTCACTGGACATCATTGATGAAAATTAGAAACTGTGTTCATGCTATGGAAGTCGTGTAATTTTCACGTTTAGATTGAGAAAATGATAATCATTTTAGTTAGTAATACGCAATGAATAGTGAAAATAATAAATATATTCTGGTGAAGCTTAATTTATCCACTCATATACACTCTAAAAGGGTTCTTTAGCAAAGGGTTCTTTGAATGCTCATGGTTCCATATAGAACCATTTTCTTTACCGGAAGAACATTTTTTTAGTGTGTAGCTATAACAAAATGCACTGCTTCAGGGTCACATTTGAGCAAATGAGACTTCTCTCTGACCTACTTCTGATAAATTTCCATCTCTACCTGCCATTTCACTCCACCACCTCCTCATCTCATCCCAGGACCTCAATCCTTTTTCAGTCTGCTCTTGAGGTCCAGTCTTCTAGTGTTAAGTAGAAGCCATCTATGCCAAAGAACCCTGAGAACTTCAGATGAGTTCTCAGGGTTCTTTGGCATAGATGGCTTCTTTCCCTCCTGCAGTCTTACAGCTTCTCCAGATACTACAACCACATATTTAAGGTGTGATCAAAACTCACAAAAATTGCTTTTTAAAACTAGTTCCTTTGTGGAAACCTTTTTTAAAAAGCAATTTTTGACCACTACTATTGGTCCATTCATCATAAAATGCTCACACAATGTAAAGAAACCAACATAAATGCAAATACAAGGTTTTGGTGTGACAGTGATGATTGTTGACAGTGTTCTTTCTATTATTTTCATTTAATTTATCAAAAACATCTTCTTCATGCATCAATGTATGAAGGATAAAACCTGCAGCTTAACTTCCAGATATTGCCCAGTAATGGAAGGCAAAAAGCCAGCAGTTTTCCAGAAGTGTGAATCCTTCACAGACCCTGATGAAAGTGTGAGAGTATTTTTAAGCCCTGAATTTGCATTACAAGTGATTTCAGTTCTTCTCTGAGCTCAACAATGACACACAAAAGCCTGAAGTGTTAAGTGAACTCCAGCAGAGCAAAATTTTCTCCTGCAGAGCTCAGTTTAATACAGTTCATCTTCACACAAACTAACTTCATATTCATAGGTTGGCTGCATGCAAAGCAATACATCACAAAAACTCTATAGCCGATATTTACTTCCATCTCATGTGTCCTATCAGTTACATGTAAAGCTGGATGCACCTGGGACTAATGTATGTTGTCATAACAGCCTATGCCTCATACAAATTTTTGTAACATAATATGATCAATAATCTGTCATGGCAACTCATGACAGCATACTACATCAGTCATAGCATATTTACAGCATGCCTATGTCAATGTTGTGTAGCAGGGCTCAAGTGAAGTGATACCAATGAAGTGTTTTATTTAGGATTTACTTTGGAATGAACAGGATGAGTAACATCACATAATCTAAGCCACTTAACACAGTTATTTAGTTCTTATTAAAGTATTTAGATATTTTAGTTTCTTGAAACAGCAGAAAGGATTAACGCTCTTGTATGATTGTGAAAATTAGTAGAATGATAAGAGGAGGTCATGCCACCATATGCAGTGGAAAAAAACAGACTTTTGGGGGTGCGTGAATCAAAAAACTGGGTAGCACCGTTGCCTCACAGCAAGAAGGGCCTGGGTTCAATTCCCTGCCCAGGCGACAAGGGTCCTTTCTGTGTGTAGTTTGCATGTTCTCCCCACGTCTGTGTCGGTTTCCTCCCACAGTTCAAAGACACTAAAGAAAGTATAAAAAAAAAAATCTGGGTTTTACTAAACCACTAACAGTTTAGAACACTAAAAGTAAGTATAAATAGAATACATTTTTTGTGATTTACATGTGTTATAGTGTTAACTGTAAAATGTTTTGTTACATTAGTAATGTAATGAGATCTTAACAGGCTGCATAAGTGGTGGCAGCTGGTTGGAGTTTGGGCGGGGGTGTGTGTGTGGGGGTGGGTGTCGCAGTTCCATCTTTCAAGAATCGTGATACCCCCCTCCCTCATGACAGCGTACTACATTAGTCATGACATGTTTATGAAATGATTATGTTGATGTTATGTAGTAAGGCTCAGTTGAAGTGCTACCAACAGATGTTTTATTGAACAGTTTCTTCGGAATTAACAGGATAAATAACAGCAAATGATTTAGGCCACTTTAGAGTTGAGGCATAATTAAGGCATTTATTTAGATAGATATTCATAGTGTTAACTGAGAAATGAAATGTTTTGTTCGTCTATTGCGGTTGGGGACTTGGTTTCAGAATCATTACACCCCTAGAAATGATTCACATTTACATGAAATTACATTACTAGAGTTCCACCCATTTGCTGTTCTCATGAACTAAAGGTGCAGCAGCTCCACTCCTAGCTTCGGCCCAATTTAACACTGGCCTAAGGCATTCACCTGTGAAATCATGGACACCATAAAGAAAATGTAAGTTTATTTTGACTTTAATAATACAGAAAGCTGTCAAATTGTTATTTTGAAGGCATCTGAGGTTTATTAACTTTGGGTATGAATCTCTGATTAAAAAATACTGTAAAATATTTTGCACACTGACAATAGCAATCTGAAAAAAACAAGAAAGACAAACCAAGAGGATAATAACACAGAGGCCACTCACTGTAAGATCACAAAATGAAAGATTACTGTAAGAGTAATACCTACACACTTAAAAAAAAGAGGGTTCTTAAAGGGTTCTTTAGTAAAGAAAACATTTGTGCATAAAACAATGAACACTCAAAGACCCTTTGCATAATTAAAGGGTTCATCAGATCAGTGGAGAATGTGCTTTAAATAATTATATTTAATTATATTTAACTACTTTTTAAATAAAAAAGTTTTATGTAGAATCTTTCTCAAAAGTGTTCCTCCATTGTTACAAGCTTGACATCATAACAATAGAAGAACCCTTTTTGGTGCTATATAGAACCCTTTTCAAGAAGGCTCTATACAGAACCATATATAACAGATTCTCCATCAATCTGAAGAACGCTTTCATGATACAAAGAACCCTTTAATCATGCAAAGCGTTCTTTGAGAGTTCATGGTTTTATATAGAACCATTTTCTTTACTAAAGAACCCTTGAATAACCATCATTTTTAAGAGTTTTCAAGAATCAGATTTTTGTCCTCCAAAGTTACAAACCATGTAAATGTCTGCTCAAAGACACAACTTGGTGCTTAAAGGGGAGCTCCACTGATTCTTTAAATTTTCTACATAGTTGAGTCATTGAGATGTAAACAAAGTCATTCAGAGTGGTTTGGTGTGAAACAGTCCATTGAAAATAAAATTGACCAACTCTGATTTCTTTACCGTGATGGTGTTGGCTAATAAATAAGCCTAATAAATCCATAATGCCAATCTAGCCATTTAATTTACAATCCAAATTTACCAGTAAACCTACACAGGTCTTCTGAGTTTTAATATGTAATATTGATGATGGTAAAGTAGTGGCAAATCAGAAAAAATGCTTTCTTTGGGGACCATTTTGCCTCAGAATATGCTGCATGTACCTCTACACCATGGATGCATTAAACAAAGTATAATTTGAAGCCAAAACTTTCTCAAAACTATCATAAAACAATGTCTCAGTCACCAAGCAAAGCATTCATAACCATTACAAGTAATAATTTTCTGTGAGGGAGCCTTTAGAGGTGGACGTCTGGTTCCTATCACCACCACTGTGAACAATTCTGACTTGAAGGGAGCATTTCAAAACAACCACTCTGAGTGTTTACAATGTTTAATTGTGCAGAAAATATGAAAAATTGGTGGAATTTCTCTTTAAGATCTAATTATGCACCTGAAATGGTACATTACGTTACTTTTTAATGCAAATAGTGAACATGATAGTTATAATCCCTAATTACTGAAGATGTGCCACCCCACTGATTTGAACCTTGAAAGACACAGGATACATGTTTTCTCTGAGAGTGGGGTTACTTCATATTTTAGAGGTTTATTCATGTTTTTACTCTTATCTTGGCATGTCCAGCCACACCTCTGCCCACACATGAAATCTGATAGGTGGACAGCCTGACAGTTTGACTCACCACACACTTTTTTAGCTTGCCTCCCCACACAACCCACCCCCCAACCCCACCCCACATGGAAGAGACGGTATGGTCATCAACTTTTTTTGATGTACCTCAACAGCTGCAGGCCCGTCCACAGGCCCAGTGCCTCGGGGGAGAGCAGTATGAAAATCTAGGCCACTGCCATTTGGCCCTCTTTCTCAGTCCACAAGCACTGTGCTATACTGAGCCTATCCCAAGTCAGGACCTCCACCAGTATTGTGGGACAGTAGAGGAGCTGACCTGTCCAGACTCACCCCTACCCAGAGCATTGGCTTGGGGACCAACAGGGTGAAGCTTTGGTTCTTCATTCTTTTTCCCAGTAGCAGAACTTAGAAGACTGAATCTTTGGGACATTATGAAGAAGGACACAAAGGTGAAGATCACTTTCCTAGTGATCCTAGTGGGCATGGTGTGCATGTTCACAGCGGTGGTGACGGACCATTGGGCCGTGTTGAGCCCAAGGGTGGAGAGCGTTAACATTACGTGTGAAGCGGCCCATTTCGGCTTGTGGAGGCTCTGCAAGAAGTACATCTACATCGAGGAGCAAGAGACGGTGGGGAAAGGGTGTGGACCCATCAGCCAGCCAGGAGGTGAGTCTGGAGAGTTCTATGTTCATCCTAGCAATGGGTATTTTAACCACGATTGCTTTTCAAACATCCCATTGAGAAAATTTTATACTGGTAACCAAAATAAAAAAAAAAGAATTAGTTGTTACATGCAGGTGAGGTGACAATTTCTGCTTATTTTGCTGATAAACTGAAATGATCATTTCAGTTTTTTAAGATTATTTGATTTAACACACAACCAGTTAACCTACAGTAGTCGTATGTAGTAACAGTATATAATAAGTCTGGGATTTGAAGGGGTTAACTTATTTTCACTTAGATTAACACAACATGACATTTGACCAGGGGTGCCGAGTCTTTTGCTCATGACTGTAACTTGGAGCCACACAACTTTACACTGAACAAATTTTTCATCTTGTTGTTTGAAATATTTTCATGTATAGCTTTGTTTATTTCCAGTCAAAGTGGTCTTTATGTCCAAGTTATTCATTTTAAAAATGAAAAGCCTCAACAATTAAATATATGATTTAATTGTTCAGCATTTACTGTGTCCATACTTTACCTTTATTATAGCCTCCATCCTTTTCCGGAGAATCACTTTCAGATTTTTAAAGAAAACTACAGAGATATTCTTTTTCATCTTCAAAGTTCAGTCTTAGAAGTTAATATCATTTCATGATAAGTAATCCCAAACACATTCACTGCTGTTGAGATCTGGGGTGGTCCAATGTTCTGAAAACACCAGCAGCAAGAGTGGAGCTTCTCATCTCTCTCTAAGATGAAAGCTTCAAGTGCTCTTTATCTGACGGGGACAGTTTTGCTGGTCTACCAGGTCTTGTAGGGGGTTGTTAGGAGCCTAATTATTTTCTGTGTTTTTCATTTCATTTTTCTATGTGTTAATCATTATTCCAGTTTTAAAAACCTTTGTTTGTTCACTTATTTTCCTTTGACTTGTGCCTTCCTTATGTAAGCGGATTATCTTATATCTAAACTCCTCAAAAAAAGGAATACCTTGGACATAATGGCTCTTTTGACTGAAAACAAATGAAGTGTGGGCATACATCCATGTATTCACATAACCACACCCACACCTTAACCACCATAACCTGTTGATTCATTTGTACAAGGCTTTGTCTTTTATGTGCAACATCTACAGAATAAGTCAGAAAGTCATTTGCAAGTCTAGAAAGCAACATGCTAAGCTTTTGTTACATAAAAAAACTGTTAGCATGATCTTAATAATGCTTCTCTCTGAGTCTGTGGGTTGTTGAATGCATGATTCATGAGCAGTCTATTATTTAGGTCAGTGTTACCCAATCTGTAATGGAGCCGCAGACATCTCTGCAATGTGGAGGCATGTACTTTCCTGCTGCTATGCACTAGCAACTGAGCAGGCTGTGTTATAGTGAACCAATGGGCCTCTCTGGGTGGTCTTAAACCAAAACACTAGCACTATATTAGTAATATATACAGCAACAACAACACATATACTGTTTCTAGGTACAGTATATGCAGTACACCCAACATCAAGCAACGCTCAGGCTAATTATTCTCTCTGTCAGTGTCTGAACATACTAATGGTAATTAGCGTGTGGCTTGTGTTTCAAAACTGCAGGGTATCTGTGAGCGCCACAAATACACTGCAGAAGTGAAATGAGCTTAAATACATGGTGAATCCTTTGACTCTAACTCTGTTCTGCACTAGTTTGAAAAATGTCCACATGAAGTAAAGGTTCTATGCCAAACCTATTGTAAAAGAAAGAGCTTGGCTAGCTCAAGCCAGTTAAACTGGTTGCCCAACATAGGGTATGTTTTTGTTTGAGTTAGATGGTTTAGCTGGTGGAATAGCATGACCAGCTAGACCAATCTGATCATCCAGCATGGCCAACTGGACCAAAGTAGTCAACAAACATGATCAGCTTGCCCAAACTAGTCAACTGATATGACTAGCTTGGTCATGCTGGTAGACCAATTTGGTCATGCTGCTTGAACAGTTTGGCAAAGTTAGTCAAACTCAAAAGAAAGTATATACTTTGTTGATCAAACAGATGAGCTTTTGCCTAGTCCAGTTGGACGTCCAGCTTGTCAACCACCTTGACCAAGCTAATCTATGCTGTATTTTTCAGCAGGGTAAAGACTGGACGTCCAAGCCAAGAACCATTTAGGAACATTTATTGTTAAGAGTTTATTTAGCTATTACTATAAAAATTATATATTATAACAAAACATTATTAAACATGATAATAAAACTCCTACACTTATCATAAAGCCGGCTAAAATACTTTAACCATAAGCAACTAGATGTAGCAAGACCAGCCTAGCTAGCTAAGCGTCATAGTTATGTTGTTGAATGCTAGCCATGCTAGTCTTGTTAACATCTAGTTTGAAGTACTGTGACTAGATGTAGCAAGACTAGCCTAACTAGCCACACGTTTTGTGCTTCATTTAACTGAAGCTCATAACTTGGAATTTTTCAAAATCTGACTATGAAAAATCTAAGAAAACTCCCCCTCAGCTGGGAATTCCCACTTGGAAAGTCAGGATGTTGGGTATTTGGGTTTTTTTCAACTCCACGCTTACCGTTTGACATCAGATCAACATGGCTGCTCGCACAGACAACAGTAGTAAGAAACCACTCCTCTGCTTTTAAATGAGATTTGCTTTCGATTAATCAACATACAGACACAATAACTAGTTAAATTTATGACACTGACCATTAAGTGCTCTGCTTTGAGAAGGTAAAACATCACAAAAGTTAAAGTTATTACTCATGTCACTAACATTACCTGGCTAGTTTGTTGCTAATAATACTTGCTTCTCATGGGGGTGTCCATGTTTTCCTACTTTGTGGCTAGAATGACAGAGTTGATGTTATTCCAAGCTTTGACTTTACACTGCTGTCCTATCTTGTATCTTCTCCTTTACAGGAGAAGGAAAAATATACTTTACTTTTAATGTAAGTCAATGTAACCAAACTTTTTTCCAAGTAATTTTGAGCTATTTATTTTGGTCCTTTCATAATGAAGGGCAACAGGCATTTTAAAATTATGTCAAACACTGACAAATGACAAAAATGGAGATACAAGGTTTTGTTCCAAAAGCAGCAAGTTTTTACTGTATGCTAGTTACTACAGACTAGACTACATTGCTGCTGCACTGATAGTAGTACTTCTGACAATGAACTCTTTGAATGCAGAAGAAAAAGACCTTCTAACAGAGCATACATGCTCTGAGCTCTGCTAATAACCCAGTGAATCTGTTTGTTTATCTTTACCTGAGCTTGGTGGATTACAGTAGATACAAGTCTGACTACGATAAGATCAACTGAGTCAATTCATTTGTTGAAGGGATTATGAATGTAATGCAGGGAGATGAATATGTGATATGCTTTCAAAACAGCTGCTGTATTGAGATACAGTGTTCAGCATAGCACTAGTGAGGCATCACATGGCTTATTAATTAATTTGTAAATACTTTACACCTTTCACACAAATAAGAAGGTGTTCATACAATGCTAGTTTAAATGTTGATGCATCCTAAACTACATACTGTTTTTGAACATGTTTATTTAGTTATATGCTTAAAAATACAAGTTTCTTCAAAGGTTCTTTAGTAAATGGTTCTATATGGAACCATGAACACTCAAAGAACCCTTTGCATGATTAGAGCATTCTTTGCATCATAAAAGGGTTCTTCAGGTTGATGGAGAATATGCTGTAGATGGTGCTATATAGAACCTTTTGGAAAAGGGTTCTACATAGCACCAAAAAATGTTCTTCTATTGCACCAAGTCTGTCATTGTAAGAATAGAAGAACCCTTTTTAGTGCTATAGAACCCTTTTAGAACCATCCACAGCACATTCTCCATCAATCTGAAGAACGCTTTCATGATGCAAATAACGTTTAATCATGAAGAGGGTTCCTTGAGTATTCATGGTTCTATGTAGAACCATTTTCTTTACTACTCTTCTTGAATAACTATCATTTTAAATCTATCATTTGTGTAGTTTAGATGTGTGAAAGCAAAAAAGCAGAACTTCAGTGCTTCAGTATAGCTGAAATGTGCTGTGCTGTGCTTTGCCTTACTGCGGAAAGAAAAGGAGAAGCATCTCAAGGCTTGAAATCTCAGACTGCACCCTCATCAGACTGTCAACTTTTATCTGTGTGATCAGACACACAGAGAATGGCTGTTAATGCCTGTTGTAGACAGAGCCTAAGAGGCAAAACTTGGAAAGCATGTCAGGACTGTCAGTATATTTACAAGAAAAGTCTTGTGAATGATGCATTACATGTGAACTCATATCAAGAACAAAAAGACTGAAGAGCGGTGCTTTGTGTTGTAAGCCTTCCCCAACACTCAGATAGGCGATCACTCCAAGTGCTGCAGTGAGAATGTATTGTTTCCGGGAGTTGTTGGAATCCATTGCGGCTGGAATCCAAGGTGAATCCAATCCTGGGCTAAGCACAGGTCTAAATTAGGGGCTTCTCATATTTCAAGCAGGCTAAATAGAGCAATCAAACCTGAGACAAGACATAGCCAAGTCCTGACTGAAGCTATCTGCGCTATACTTTGGTTATGGTGAAGTTTCACAAAAACATCAGTGGTGTTCTTTACCAATGAAAGGTGTTTGGAACCGTTCTGAAGTTTGTAATCACTGTCTTCAACAGTATGAAACTAACCTGGTTGTAGATATAGCAAAATAATTCTAATATGCTAAAACTGTGCAGCTTCACATTTATAAAAAATGACTAGGATGATGTAAACATTTGTAGATGATATAAATGAGAATGCTAGTAAAAAATGACATGCTAGTTGATAATTAAAGTTAAACAAAGCCATATATAATCATTTTGAGTGGTGATCAAATTTCAAGGCAGATAACTTGACACAAAGCTACTACAAATAGATAATTACACTACATTATTTATCCTTAGAAAAATGTAGAATGATAATCATTTAAATGTTTTAATGTATTTTGCATATTGCAAAATACTTTAACTAGTTAAGCCCTCAAATGGCCAAG